TATAGAAAAAAAAAAAAGAAACTCTCCAAAAAGAAAAAGAGAATTAGATCTACATATGTAAGAAGGGGGTTTCACAAAATTTATAGTTACTTTTGTTGTTAATTTGGTATAGAGTATGTGTTCACTGAGGAGAGAGAGGGAGAGAGAGAGAGAGAAAGTGAGAAGGCACCCCTACCCAGTAGAGATGGCCACATTGCAATCTCTTCTCTTCCACTCTCCTCTTGGGATATTGGGCATGCACATATGTGTGCCCTATGTGTTTCTCAAGCTGCCAGGTTCAGTACTCGAACTGTGCAGTTGGAAATGTGGAATTCCGTCATCTTAACCACTATGCCACTGGCTGGCCCTATAGTTATCTTTAATCTGCCTCAAATTTTAAGGTGTTTGATTGTGTATGTATATTATAATTTATTTAACTAGCCCCTTAATATTAGACATTTACGCCCCTAAGATTTAACTTTAATGTGTGTCCTTGATTACATCCTTAGGATAAATGATCTTAATTGGATTTGTCAAGTTAGATGAACACAGGCATTTCATGGTGCTTTTTAATATTTCATTGTAATAATTACTTGAAACAATGTATACTAAAATAAACTATGAGATTTCTGGTTGTCTTTGGGCATACTAAGACTATTTTAGTTTTGCTAACTTAGTAGGTCAAAAATTACATTTTACTTTTGTTTAAAATTATTAGCAGTCAAGTCATATATTTCCATAGGTTTTCCTATTGCGAATTGCTCATTTCTTTGCTATTTTCTCTTTCACTTTATCTTCCTTTTAATTATGAATTAGAAAATAATATTTTAGAGGTATTCTTTATAGTGCGGATCCAATCTTGTGCACAATTGTTTCTATTTTCTACCATTTCTATTAAAGATTTCAATTCTTCTATTTTACTGGATGGTTTTGTTGTAGTGCTTCTTACATTAGCACAGCTCCCTTTTAATGTCAGCTCTTTATCTTGTTTCCTACTCTTTGCCTTTGCATTTAATTTGTTCTCTGACATTGACTTTGAAGCCATGTGCATATTGTGAAGG